TTTGTATTAAATTACGTATCTTATTAGCTGTCTTACCATACATATACCGTTAGCCGCGTGGGATGACCATGTCGTTGGATTGGTTTGAAGCTAATATGTCTTGTTGGAAAAATGGTACAAGTGAAAACTATGTAGTATCACATCTCTTAAGATTTCTTCAATTACTTCTCTGTAATAAAGAAATAAGCATTGAAAACCCCGAGGAATGTATTACGGGTTGCATGACGACCAAGGAGTTGATATTAAAGTCCTGTACATGTCATTCATGAGGTTATACCAAAATCTTATATCTGAATGTCCCTTGTTCATTTAAAAATCCTTCGAGTTCCGTGAGGTCCTTTTCTGTAGCACATACCTAGGTAGGTATTGTAATCATACTCTGTCCGGCTTATTTACCTGAAGTATGTAGGAGTACAGGGGAGGGGCCTGTTTTGTCGAGGGAGGATTCTTCAGCGGAGTAGGTAAAAGAGGTCCTTTTCAGAAGTAAGATCGCATGATATGAAGTAAACAATCCGAGTATCTAAAGATGCGGGTGAAAATTACTTAGCATATGTACCTATGCACATATCATATGTGGTTCGCATGCAGAGCCGCTCCTGTGCTGATATGATGTTGTGTTTGCAGGTATTATCTCTACTTTCGCGTTTGCCCCTCGACTGATCTGATGACCTCGTTTCTCAAATATTAGTATGTTTGGATGTTGGTTTACATACATACTTGACCGAATCGAAATTTTTTCCAATTGCTCACCGATGCTTGGTGATGTTTGCGCACTGCCTATTAACATTTCTTACACTTTTAGTTGGATCTACATGTCATTAAGGATGAATAGGAGAGGTACCTAACCGACCTACCTTAACCTAAGGTAGTCAGCCCTAGACGAAGTGGATCGGGATGGATGCCGCAGCAAGTCATAAAGTTTATCCACGCAGTTGGAACTTGAGATGCCATAGGTACTTGTCTCATATTTTTTGTCCTTCCTTTCTTTAAGCGAAAATAAATCATATAATACTTCGATAGGTCATCTGTTAAAGAGGGGAAGATTTCACCTAAGCTATAAGTCTTATATTCATACGATGGGTACTTGCTAAGTACTTAAAAGGTAGGTAAGGTAAGAAATGTTGATTAGGTGGGCATTATAAACAGGGTATAAACTTATTTATTTACTTAAATTATTATAATATCTAATGTCTTCTAGGTATGTAAATTCAAAGGGCGTGACATGCCGGAATTGTGTTCCAAGTGCTCAACCAACATCATATACCAAAATGAGATATGATGGGTACACCAGATGAACATTTTAGATCTGAGTTCCCACTGAACTACACTAGATATATCTGATTCAAGGTATTCAATCGTACTGTACTGTTACACTTGTTATTTTCCTTTGTAAAACACTCTCTTAAGACAAATGGTTAAAATTTTTTTTTTTAAACATCGGCGGCATACATAACTCATTTTGTTCATCACAAATACCGGCTTATCAACACATTAGAACGATATGAAGAGAAAAGAAAAGAAAAGGAAAATAAAATAAAAAGAAGCTTTAGATTGAAAACGGAAGTGCGGATGCTACCCACCATTTCAGGGGAAAACGGTTCCAGGGGTTAAAACCCCAAGGTGGCTAAGCGCCAGGAACAGTAATATTATTGGACCGCGGAAGCTTTGGTCAATTGACGATAATAGGACTTAGCGTACATCAACGTATCAATCACTTTTCGCAATTTGATGTTACCATGGGGTGTAGATAATTAGTGCGAGACTTCATAATATATACTGTGTTTATATGTACCTAACCTCTATTCCGTACCCGTGGACGTTGCTGGTATTGAAGTTAACGTTTTGTGTGAGAGGTTGAGACGCCAATTCCTATGAACCCCTGAATTTCAAGTCAGGTCTTCCTCCTCGCGCTCGTCATCAATCGGCTTTAAGTATTTAAGCCTTACCGCGCCATTGGCTTTAATATAGTACATGGATGATATCAGTCGATGGGAATCTCGTTTAGGTATTATGGTATACTATGTACCTAGTAGCTGAAAATCCCCAAAAAAGATAAATTCCGGGAAGAAGGGAGGCGTTTCGCTGAAACGGAATACATATAACAGGACAGCTGAGTAGCGACGGCGTCTTCGTTATCGTTAAGATGCAAGCCCAATCATCTGATCTGATCTGGCTGTTAGGTCCTCCGCGTGATTTACGTCTCCCATGTGCTTGGACGACCCATTCCAGCGGGGGTAGGTAGACGGATGATGTGCCGTGGCTGCATTGGCCTGTGTAAGGCTTTAGCGGGTTGTCCTGATTGCTTCTTTTTCGCTTAATGAATATTCTCTCCCTATTCGGTTTAGATAGTTACTTGGATACCCAGGTTTAAATAAGAGCTACTTAAACGAACGCCATAAGCAAGTGTGTTTGAGATTAAGCCAACCGATTCCTTGAGATCTTTCCTAGCATGGACAAGAGACCCGAACCGTAGATAGATCATGATGGGAAGTATGGGAGATCTCTGTAATCTAATAAGACCGTTGCATGGCAGCTGAACACTACTCCTCTCCTTAGCTGTTGTGCAACCGCCTCAAAACGCCGCTGAATCTGATAAAAGCGGTAGTACATTAGGTAGTGTCGGTTGGTCTTGTCTTTTAGTATCTAGACTTAGGATCTAGGTTACAGGCTTTATATTTGTTTTTTCTATTATGTACATGGTAAGGCTAGTGAATATCCACTAATACATAGCAACAAGGGCCACAAGAGCATTATGATCGTCGTGTTCTAGAAAAAGCCAATGTATATTAATTAATCGGGTTCCATTCCAATGATCGTCTCTTGTTGGATAAGGTTACGGTGTATAGATAGACCAGGTATATTATTGTCGGTTTTGTACAAGCAAATCATCTATGTACTACGATATAGATAGGTAAGTTATAGTTAATACTACATACGTCTAATCCTTGAAGAGGAATTGCTTCTAGTTGAACGGGGGAATAATACGAAATAGGTACGGATCTTATCATGTAATGGTATCATCAAATCAAGATCTTAAATTTAACATAGTTAATTATAATCATTCTTAGATATATTGTTTGTTCATTTACCTCTTAAGCTCAGATATTCCTTTTTCGTTTTACTCATATCATTGCATAACATTGCTAAAAATGATTGTTTAATCGAAGTGATATAAAAATACATTATAGACAATTGATATGTAAATGTACATATTCAGATAACCTTGGTTGGTTATTAATGCTAAGAATCTAAGCTGAATGTGGTAAGACATGTGGGAAGCAAGGATGGAATTGTCCAATAGGCTATCAAATAGACTTTTTAGTTTTGGAAATTTTAAAGAGACGAAAGTGACTTAGGAGAGACAGTGCAATTTCTTAGGAAATACATACATAAAAGTACCTAATATATGAGGTACCTATATATGTAGGTACGTACCTGAATACCCTTGTCGCCTGCACTTAACACCTATGCAGGGCCCTGCACCGTTATGCAGGGGAGGAGGGGCTTCTCTTCCAGGATAAGCTCCATTTTCAACATTCTTGGCATTAATTATCCTTGTTCATCACCCTCATTTTCCACCCACTCGGTTTTTCCCACTTTTGCATTGACTCTCCGACTCATCAGTCACTTGTTTTTGTCTTGTCTTGTCTTGTCTTGTCTGATTTGATTCTGGTCCGTGATCCGTGGTCCGTGGTTTGTGGTCCGTGTTGAATCAATAGCGACCCTCGTTTACTTGACTAGGTTACTATTATCAACCAGTCAATCTCTTTCGTTTTTTTTTTTTGCTTTCTTCGGCACTCGCTTTTCCTTGTCGATTGTTCATTTTCTCTGCGGCGACAACTCTCACCATAGTCACTCCTTTCATCCCCAACGATAAGGCGATACTCGAACTAATAGGCGAAACGATCGATCGATTAGAATAATTGCAATAACTCCCGGTTATCAAGTATATTGCTAGTGGAAGATACGAAGGAAAAAAGGGGCGCCGAAGCAAAATACAAAATACAGACAATTGTTGTGCCCCTCTGGTATTCGACGAAGAAGCAAGACAACCGTTGCACAAGAACTCGAAATCATTTCTCATTCCAAGACCCAGAGTTCGGATCTCGCAGATTAAGCAGTCACAAAATCGGCTTCCAACATTCATCTGCCATCAGCCTATCCTACGGGAACCATTGGTCTGTTGTGTTCGTGTGACTTTTAAGTATTCACTCTTTTGACATCGATCATATGCTACGAGTTGCGAATATTCCATTCCAAAAATCCCCTTGAATCCATTTTTCGTTTCTCTCGTCTTCTTAGACCAGGTAACAAGATTGGCTCTTTTTGAGAAAGAGGGACAGGGTCATCTCAATTTGGTTGTCTGATCGTCGGCCGGCCCATGTGCATATTCATGCTTGATTTCCTTTCGACTATTCAGGTTACTATCCGGGTTCCTCTATCAAATCTGTGAAACGCTCCCGACACGAGTCATCCCATCTTCAGGTAAGCCCCTCCAATACATTTTTTCAAAGTATTTTGCAATTTCTTCTGAGGAATTGTTTCTATTATTCCAGAAACTTGGATTATTGGAATATCTACCAATCAATTTTGCATTTCATGCGGCACTTCCTGTATCTAAACTCTCGAGCACGTCTGTGTCCGCACCGACGATGCAAGCCCCCTTAACCTCATCTCTCACATGATATCAATGGCCCTAAGTCATTTAACTAATTGCAATTCTCTCCCATTTTAGACAGGGATCACTTTGTGTTTCCCTAAGTCGACTTTTCCGTCCTTTCGCACTACCTAAATCTAATAGGAAACCTCGAAACATATTCAAACCTCACTAGAGTCGATCACTTTCGGCAATTTTACTTGCGTTTATTAATGGGATAAGGAACGTTATACTATCCCGTTATCTTATATCCTAACTTGTCTTCTATTATACCGAACTGGTTTCTAGTCTTAACTAAGAATTTTCACCCGGGAACGAAGGACGAACGCCGGTATAATCCACAATGAATCGCTTCAGGACCAAGAAGGAGGCCAAGAAGAAGGCCAAGGATGACATTTCGACGCCTAGGCCCTCTCAAGATTCCGAATTGTCCATGCCATTTCGGCCGTTTAGAAAAGGGAAGAAGGCCCAAGAACCTGAGAAGGTCGAGATCGATATTTCAGCCGCTCTACCATCTAATGATGAATTCCGTACGAGTTTATTAATGACCGGCCTTTCAGCCCGGTTCTCCATGTTACGGGAGCAGGATGATCCAAACACCAAGATCGGTAAGGCCAGCGATGACAGCGTTCTTTTTCCCAAGCGACAGTCCAGATTGGATTACGGCGGCTTTCGCGGCTTAGGGGATATCGCCGAGGTTGAATCGATAAAAGCAGCGGCTCCCTTCGCTAGACAGACCTCTTATAATTCAGATGACGCGGACTCGTTAAAGGCTAGCAGTGTCATGGGACGTTCTAAACCGACTGAGGGTAACAACCTATTTGGCGGGCGCCAGAAGATCTACAAAATTCCAGCTGGTACTAGTTCGTCGAAAAATCTTGACGGCGGAATGAGCGGGCGAGCCTTGTACGATGACGATGTCGCCTTGTCTGCTTTTCAACGTTGGAGACAGGCAGAGAAGGAGCGTAAATCCTCAGAGGGAGATGGGGAGGAAGACGAAGAGAGGAATTCAAGCTATGCAGATGCGGATGCCGTCCGTGCCGATTCACCAATACTCAGCAATTACAACCAAAAAAGAGAAACATCTTCGACGACATCCTCCATCCCATCATTAGCTAGGAATTCGACCGCTGCAACATCAATAACGTCTTCTCAGCGGACTCCTTCCCTAATGGACTGGCAACCATCAACTAACCCTACTACAACAGTTGAAAGGAGCGTGACACGTACCAGGAGGCTATACGAATCTGGGTTGAGCAATGATCTTCATGAGCAGCAGTCCTCGGCTCTTTCCCGCATCGACACTCTGACACGACAGCGTACTTTTGGTAGTCTAACGCCAGATCTAGCCCAGAATTCGCCATCGCCTACGGCCTTCGGATTTGCCGATCGGTTCAGCAGCGAGCGAAAGGTCCTAGCAAAGTCTAGCGCGCCGAACTTGCGATCTATGAGTCCCCCCGTCACCGCCTCTCCTACCGGTACCCCGGATCTCGGCGATCGTGTGCCTAGCGCAACCGATATGCGATCAAATTTTGGAGGGGCGCCGCCGCTAAGCCCCCCAATAAGTGAGACGGAGGAAAACTCGATTCTTCAAATTCACCCCAATGATCGAGGAAAAGCTACTACACTCGGAATCTTCCAAAAGCCCCTACAACCGTATGATGAGTCCAGATACGCTCAACGGCAATTACAACGACAGCAAGGTCGGGAAACGCCTACGCAAAGGTCTCGGGATGACTTAAATCCATCTTCTGGAACTAATCGATCTAGTTCATCGTCGTCTGGAACAAGACAATTAGAGCCTAAGGTTTATGTGGCTCCTACCGAAACTGGATCTGCGTCAATTGAGCCTGCAACGTCATTCTTAGCCGATCCTAATGACTCGGATTGCTCTCCTGCTGCGTCGCCCAAGTCAGGTACATCTCATGCCTTGTTGAGGCGTCCTTCGGACCGCCAACATCCAGCTCTTCGTGATTCTACAAAGCCGGCAGAATCTGATAATCAACCTATCCCCGGGGAGAATTCGTCCATGTCGCCAAATTCAAAGGGTATCTCGCCTGCAGATTCACCTACTCTGGGTCCGGCTCCTGGGGCCGGCCTAAGTGGCATGGTGCGGCAGCACTTGCGAGGCGACAGCAATGCTTCGTCAATTTACGGCGTCACCCCTGGTACTTCGGGTCTAGAATCTCGTTTCCCTGCGGGCCGAGAGGATGAGCAAGATTTCCGAGGATCAGGTGTAAATGCGAATCCATGGGAGCTACCCGATGTCGACCGGGATTGGACACTAGATTTAGACGTCAACGAGCCAATGTTAGACATTCAATCTCGATCGTCTAATGTGCCTACCGCCGAAGAGTTTGCAGGCAAGAGTACTAATGCAACTACTGGTGACGACCGAGATGAATTTGCCAGTCAGCTAGCAGATGGAGCACGCCGAGTACGTGAACGATTGACTACATATGTCGAAACTGACAGTCGTTCTTCCTCGCCTCGCCGGTCAGAGGAGCCGGTAGATGTAAGGGAACAGACATCTAATGTACGGCAAAATGGGCTGGGTCTTCTACAGTCAAAGAGCAGCCGGGGATCATTAATTGACCGAAGTCGGGAGCCTCCCCAATCTAAAGCTATGAAAATGCTTGGTCTCGGGGCTTCAAGTAGCCCTCAATCGACAAGTTCGGCACGAGAACATGATGATGTAGAGCAGCAACCAACGGAGAGTGATTCTCATGCCGGCCTTCGAGCGTTTAGACAAGCGAAGCGTGAATTGCAAAAGATGAAAGAAGCAGAAATAGAGGTTAGACATCAAACACAATCTCAGGATCTTGCTTTGGACACCGATTCCGTACGGTCGACACCAACTAGACAACTACCCTCCGGACAGCGATCCCCCGAACGCGAACGGAAACCACCGCCTATCTTTTATCAGCAACGGACATTCAGTGAAGAAGGAAAAGAGGTACAGACCCTACCATCCAGAGGACAGTTAAGGAACGATCGCGATAGAAGTGGTTCTGACTCTAGCAACGACGGGCGGTCAAACGTGCGGCCCACGCGGAATCTTCAAATTAGTTCCAGTGGAACCGCGGCACGACCTCCAATGCGTTCCCCAGGCCTCCCCGGTACGGACATCAAAGGGTCGCCAATTATGCCACCGCAACCGTATCCAGGATCTAAAAAATCTAAACCTGCTGCCACTAGCAACCTTCGTGTACAGACGTCTCGCGGTTTCGAATCGAGCCAGCCCTCACCTATCTCTCCCATGCCATCACCGTTTGGCCGTAATCCGCCGTCCTCTGGTGTGGTCCCTTCGCCCCGCTCAGGAGCATCCCCAAATCGCGGCTACGAGAATGCAAGTCCGACCACAAGTGATAGTACAAGACGCAAAATTAAGACTAAGGACATTTCAGATCCTACGTTCGTCATGTCGACTTCCCAAGTCCCGACCGTAGCCTTGTCAGAAGCCCCACAGAACATATCTCGCAGCAACAGTCGGAGTGCGCCGCCTTTGCCCCCCATTAACCCGCGACGAAGGCAAGATTTCTCTAGCACTCGAGCTGTCTTTGACAACTTGAGCCGACGCAGCGGTAATGGCATGGAGGCAGAGGCTCTCGACCGCAAACGCCTCCGACCGGTAGCATCTGATGGTTCAGGGCTTCAATCAAGAGCTCCTAACAACGCCCCCCCTAATAACGTTGGTCTTCCTACATCTAGGAGAGCCGTGACCGATGGTGGCAAAAACCCTGGCATGGGTATGCCGGGTGGTATGATTTAGTTGGGAGTAATTTGCCGAATATTTTCTTTAGAGCTTTGTTTAATTCCAGATCAAAATGGGCTGACCCTTAAGCATTCACGAAGTGTAATGAGATACCAATTCCAGATTCTTTTTTATCTTTTCTTTTTTGCTCTTTACGAGGCTATGGGACGGTTGTATATTTTGTAAATTTAACTTTGCTCTGAGCATCACGCATTTGCGTTTCCTTTATGGTGGACAGACTTAAATGTCGCTTGCTTGTCGGGCTGGTCTCGGAGTTGAAGCGGATAAGGGGGGGAAGGACTTATTTACCTAATTAACAAAAGCAGGAAAAGGAGGCGTATAAAAGACGCAGCTTTAGTCTCGAGATATACTCGTACCGAAAGATGTTATATTATAGCAGTTATACCATGAAACCACTGCTTTACACGCCATTACCAGGTGTCAGAGAAAGCTTGTATAGATCCATGATGGCATTTGGGTACACTAATAGAAGCTCAAAGCAACATTGAAGATAGCTAAGGTTACCTAACAGCGGGGATTTTGCGGAGGATTTACAGTAACACGTGGAATCGGATGCGGAGTAAATGAGTCTATCGACAAACCAATAACAAATGAATCCCGGGTCAACTCCCGGACCAACTTCCAAGTCTCCGGAAATGGAAGATGTAATACCGCGTCCCGGAATAGCTTACACGACCGAATTTAGTGAATCCCAATTAGTGCGTAGATACCTATATATGTTTTGATGATCGTCATATTTCCTCCTCCATGTCTACGCCAAGTCTTTTATCGTAAACTATATCAACTTGATGACGGTTGAATGGGTCCCATTGTAACTCAAGCATTCTCTCTACGGCAGGTGATCATTTCTGGGCACTATGTTTGTAGCGGTTAAACGTCAATATCCGGTTTGTTTTCCTTCTATTATCTGGGCGCCGTTTCATGGCATTCCCAACTTGGTGAAAATATTAACTGGCAGTGCTTTTGCCGACTATATCCCATGCAAACCCCGTCAAGGATACCATGGTTGGTCTTGTTAAAACCGACATGCTGCCGTAAATACATCGGCCTGGTTCTAAGTCCGATGAGTCTTGCCGACCTAATGTCTAAGATCCCATAATTTCGTTCTTAAAACCCAACTTTACCCGTTAACAGTAAGTGGGCATGTGCTATCCGTCGAAGTAAAGTTACTAGTCATGGCTCCCTTCGCCATATTCGCAGCTCTTGGGCTGTTTTTGTCGGCTGCAAACGCGCAAAACTGCACTCCGCTTACTCCGTCGGCACAGCTCAAGATAAGCGATGGTTATACCGCACAGGTTATCTTGAACGGGTTGAGAGTACCACGCAATATCATTTTCGATACGGCAGGAAACTTACTCGTGTCAGAGCAAGGAGGGGCTGGTATTAGGAGGGTGGTCTTGACAGAGAGTGACGGAAACGTCTGTGTAGCTTCAAGCGCCCAGTTGATCCCTGATACATCGGTAAGAAATCTTGAGAAATCGTGTGTATAGGTTGTGTACTCATTATATAAATATCAAGTTTAACCATGGCATCGCACTCAGTCAAGATGGAAAGACCTTATTCGTCTCGAATATGGCGAGCGTATACGGATATCCATATGATGCAGAAGCCGGGACTGTCGGCACCAGGAAGACGTTGATAGAGGGTATGAGAAGCGGAGGCCATATCACTAGAACACTTCTTGTCCCCTCTAGCGCCCCGGACGTCCTTATAGTCTCACGCGGTTCCGACGGGAATATTGACAATACGACCACTAATGTTGAAGCCGGGAAAAGTATAATCAAGACTTTTAAGATTTCGGAATTACTTGCATCGGAGATAGCGACGAATTATGTATCCGGGGGTGAGGTTCTAGGATGGGGTCTGAGAAACTCGGTCGGCGTCGGCGAGGATCCGTCAACAGGTGGTATTGTATGCTGCATATTGCCCTTGGAATTAATCATTGTACGGATCACTAACTGGTATATATCAGTGGTCTGTTGAGAACTCGGCAGATGATATCGTCCGTAGCGGTGTCGATATTCATAATGAAAACCCGGCCGAGGAACTGAATTATCATGGTGTCATCAAAGACGCAGAAAATACCCTTAAAGGCCAGAATTACGGATATCCAGCTTGTTTCTCTGCTTGGCAAACTACGAATATTCCGTCGAATTCTAAAATTACTGTTGGCTCACAGTTTGGTGGCATAGCCGGTACTCCTTGTATGTGCTATTAAATATACGCTTAGGTTAATGATTCATAACTGACCATTTTATAGTCGAGCAGGTAACGGCGCGTGGCTCATTAGAAGAAGTTGACGAGTTTTGCCGCACTGAACGACAAGGGCCCCGTCTAATCTTCCCTGCCCATACAGCCCCGTTAGATATTAAATTCAAGGAAGATGGAAGTGCCGCTTACGTTGCATTTCACGGGAGCTGGTTAGTATCCTAATCTATCTAGACACCCTCGAATTCTCATCGGTTCTAACTTGATACTCCTTACAGGGACAGAAGGCCTCCTGACGGATACCGGGTGGGTAAGATTGCATTCGCCAACGGCCAGCCCGTAGCAAATATCACGGATACTACGGCCGTGGAGTATATCCTGCAGAACGAGGACACGACTAAATGTCCGGGGGCATGCTTTCGTCCCGTGGGCCTTGCATTTGACAAGAAGGGTCGTCTATTTATGACTGCGGACATGTCTGGAGAGATCTTCGTGATAACTGAGGTTTAAACCTATTGCAAAGTATGAGATAAGTATGTTCATTGAACCAGAACGTGGGAGGTCTTGTATATCGGGTTTCCTTTCATATACATCTCAATAATATAGGACGTTAGGATACCCTTGCTTCGTCGGTGGGGTGTTCTTCGTAATGTCATCAATATAACTCTAAAGTGAGTATTGAACGTACGGAAGGGGAGAGGGTGAATGGTCTTAGGAGGTACTTATACTAAACCAACTAGTCTTTGACTGAGACGATAGATAATCACCTTAGAATTGAGTCGGTGTTAAGATTTTGATAACCACATGTCAACGTGAACTAAGGAGTGACGTGATAAATATAAAAATTTGGAGTTGCTAGAATCCCGATGGCCTTGTATGTATTTTAGTATGCTGATCTGCTGACGCCGAGAGCTTACCGATCTGCATTATTTCATTTACGTGTGAATGCTTCTCTTTTCATCATTCCTTGCATAGACAGGCATAGTGTATTCCAACGAGGCGCAGACAGTGGGAAATATACGATTGATTTCTTGAGTGCTCTTACAAAAAGCTTCTCCTGGACGTTCTAGGGCACATAGACTACTCTACCCTTGGCCTTCAACGATGCGTCATTCCAAGTCTCTTCGATGTCCTTGAGCTGCACAGACCAAGCGGGGGTCAGCTTCCAGCTAGCCACCGTCGGAACCATTGTGTGAAGCTCCTTCATTAGCGCCGATATACTCCAAGAACCTGCTCCCGCTCCCCGGATAGTTAAGTCGAAGGACCGGAGGAGACGGGAAGGGATTTGGGGAGTCTGCTGAGAAAGACCCCCGATTTGGACGTACTGTACCGGCTGCTTGACCCGGCTCAACGATGTAAGTAGATGCACAGTCGCGTCACCATAAACGTAATCCAAGATAACATCAACGTTATGGATTTTGGAAAAGTTAGTTTCGGTTACAGGATCTTGGAGCACGATATAATCATCGAGGCCGTCAACGTCGGCTAAAGTCGCGCTGTTCCGCGCGATACCGATGACTTTGCCAGCTCCCAACGCCTTAGCCGAATGTACGGCCAAGCGACCACTAGCACTCGTCGCACCAATGATGACTGCAGTAAAGTCCTTTGGTAGGTTGGTAGTACGATGAGTGATCGCCATCCAACTGCTCATGGCAGGATTTAGGTTCGCAGCGAATGATATTGGATCGACAAGATCAGTTAACGGATAGACGTTAGACTTATCAATGTTGATACGTTCTACAAACGTACCGCCGTTCATAGTAAAGGCATAGTAGAGCTTGCCTGTAGACTCGTCTTTGCCGACACAGTCGATACCGAGGGTGTGAGGAAGCACCCTGGCTGAGTAGTGGGCTCCTGAGGCGCGGGTGCGAACTACTTGGTGAACCCCAGCAGCCAAGACGCGGAGTTGGACTTGGCTATCTGATGGTGTAGGTGGATTGTCAACCGAGACATACCGTGGCCCTTGGGTCCAAGACTGAACTTGTGCTGAATGCATGTTTTATTATTGACTTGCTGACTGACTTATTTATTTGCCTCTTCTCTTGATTTTTCTTTGATTTTTTCAACACGGTTATTTTGCAAATATTATATATTAGATACTTATTTATATATTATATAACTAACTAGAATGTTTGTAAGCCAAGTGGATTTAAAGAATAAAACTCGCGCGTATTTCGCTTTATCGCCGCTCATAATCCGAAAGCGGGTATAATATTATATCAGGCCACTCGAGACTTATGCGTCTGCCTACATAGGTACCTAGGTAAGTTAGAAACGAATAGGAACATTACATACTGCGTAGCCACAGGGGTTATATGAAACACCCTGTTGGCTGATGACCGGGTTTTGTATGTATGCTCCTTAAAGAATCCTCTTAGTTATACATAGGAAATACTACACGCAATGAGAGAAATGGTAATTTTTCTATCTTATTGCTCGGTATCCGTAGTTGGAGATAAAATGTTGAAAGTTACGAATTGGCTTGTCTTGTAATTAACTGTGTAAATGGTTTACGGATATCTCGAAAACGCTTTATTATAATTAGATAATTATAGTTAGAAGTAGGAGGACTCTCAGTTGCAAGTTGACTTCTCATAGACTTTATCTTTAAGCTGACTTCCGAGTATCTAAACCACCAAATCAATAGAATCATGATCGGTTTCACTAGCCTCAAGATCTTCATCTCTCCGCAACGGGGAAGAAACATGGGTTATACCTAGCTCTACCGCTACCAGCTTACAGGTAGTTTAGCTGAAAATCCTCCGGTCTAGTTCAAGGCACACTCGGACCCTTTCCGGCAGCCTGAGTTGCAAACAGATAAGTATAGATGGATAATGATGTAGACCTACTCCGTCCGTGCCGTGGTCTTGCAGCAACGCTGTAACTGAGGATTCGATAATGGCGTTTATAGATATGAAGACTGGAAGGTCTTCCATTTAAAGGTATATAAGTGTGTGTAAAAGAATTGATGTAGGCTATGAAATGGGACGAGGAGGCGAGGTTATAGTGCATAGTGCATAAAAGGATGGGACAAAAAAGAGAAACATAGCCCCCAAAAAATACATGCATGCATAAGTGTAAATCCTTAGGTTAGGTACCTAACCTACCTAAGGAATGAAAAGACGGGGAACGTCATAGGCTTCTATTTTTTGACGTTACGCTGCAGCCCTGCAACTGTGCCCGATTAAATATGTAGTTATGTATTATTAAGATAATGTTCCTTCTACATGTAGCGTTGCAGATGTATGTATAAAAAGGGGCGCAGCAACAGCGGGAAAGTATCCACTTAAACTAAATGTACTAACAAATGTACTAATGAATAGCTGATCCCCTTTATCTAAAAAAGGTTTACCTGTTGCATGACCCCTAAAAAGTCCCTAATGTCTAAAGGTCCTTAAGGTCCCAGACCAATTGCTCCAACTGCTCCAACTGCTCCAACTAACTGCTATTTCCAATTCGCCTCCGCAATTTCAACGCGAGTAACACTTATACAACTACATGTACAACATCCCGAGCTGCGGTGTCTCGTCTAGCATCATCGCATCGCATTATATCGCATCGCATCGCAGCCTTATTAGGTCGAATCGGAGGATAACGAGTAAATACCTAACGTAATTGGAAAATAATTATAATACTTTTATTAGAAAGTATTTTAATTAAGACGAGAACAAGAGAAGAAGAAACAAGACGAAAAATATAATAAATAAAGAAAGAGGAGGAAAGAAGAAAGGAAAAAAAAGAAGAAAAAGAAGCCTTAAGACGTGACGACGTCAATAATAACAAGTATCGTCAACTATGTCGACAACAACACCTCGAAGTCGAAGCCCACTGACACCGGTCAGCACACGCAGTTCATCATCTTCGGATCACGTAGCGATACAAATATATAGCTGCCCTTGCGAAAAATGCGAAATTCACCACACCAACTATAATAACTCCAATGGTAGCACCAGCAGTAATAGTCATAACAGCAATAAGGCTAGTGAGAGCAATACGACGCGCTTCGATGTTCCCTTAATTGCTATCCCGCGACTTTTCACGGCATTACTAGGCCTGGCGACGGTGATTCGAGTGCATACAGCTATCGATGCCGGGTGGTGGCCGTGGGAAAATAAAGTGTTATTCTCGTTATGTTGGTTAGCACTGTTTTGGAATCTAGCACATGGTTTGTGTAGTATCCTAGGATACGCGTACTGGCCATCGCCGCGGCGTACCGTCGGCTTACCCCCAGTTACCCTCGCCGTTAACGGGAGGACTATCGTATCCTTCGGCGGCCCTGATGAGGATGAGGGCATCCGAAGGCGTCGCGCTAAGAGGTTGCAATTTACTATAGTCGATATCCTACTCGCCGGGCCAACGCTCGGGTTTCTGATATACTCGGCGCATATCATGTATCCTTGGTGGGGATCTAGGTATGTCGGCTTATGGCCGCCGACGATAGGGTTGATTGCTTCCCTCGTGTAAGTATAGGCTATGGAATTACTCGACTACTTAGGCTAATAATATGGGAACAGTTCTTCCCAATTCCTCACCGCGTTTCTCCAGCTGTTCCAATTCTTCGAGGCCAAGGTTGTCGGCGTGCAATTGACGATGCAAGACATATATGAGAAGGACGACTCCGCGGGCCGATTGCAATTATAGGGCGCATGGGCGAGCAGGCAAAATATGTGTCTATTATTCTTTTCTTTCCAAAGCAGAGCGGAGCAAAGCAAGGCGAAGCACAACAAAAATACGATCGTTTTTTGTAATAAACATTTAGGAGCGGCATTGGGTGTTCCAAAAGATACCAAGCAAAGCAAAGGGCGGCATTGCGCATATACTCTACCACATAGTCAGTTGGCAATAGGCCTTGATGATACCACAAAGGAGATAGAAATATATCATCTCTCAATTCACCGCGTTGTCGGCTTTACAATCTCCTTTTGACAGTATGAGGCTTCTCTGTTAATGAGAACCTGGACAACAATTCGGAATTATACGAGTTAAAATAACCATAGCGTAAGATATCGAATGGTGAGTTGCTTCTATGACAGCGATTTGTAGTTTCTTGACTTATATCCCTTTTACACAACACCAATTTAGATGCCATAGGAAGCTACTGATATTTTCTGACCGACCTTTGGCAAATGGTCAATCAGCCAAGACAGCGCGACTCATTAGCGCAGTCAAAAATTTCAGATTCGTCAACCTGTTGTTTCGCGTAGCACCGATGCTCGTGAGCTACGACTAGTTAGCTACCTGGTAGTTTAAGTATGAAGGGCAGGCTAGTGTTGTCCAATTTACCTTAGGTCCGATACTTGGGATACTTAGTGACGGTTATGATTTACTGCTATGTTGCTATATACCTACGTACGTAGTAGATAAATACTGTGATGGTATAGTGTCTAAGTAGTTAAAGTAGTAATATAATACTATGTTTACCTACCTACCTCACAGTAGGTAGACATCTCGTACATTGGGATGATTGGGCACATTAGCTTCGACATAAAGGAACAAACTACCCTTAGCGGCCTCCTGACATAGACAAACTAGTCGTCTGACTGCGGGAACTTAATAGACTATCTACTTTAGGTACCTGACTTATTGTGGACAGCAGTAAGTATTAGTTAAGTACCTATCCAGTAGGTAGTTGGTATATATAGGGCGAGCACTAAAGACTGGAAAGATATGTAGTGTCCATGTCTAACTGAGCGCAGCGCTCTCTATTTATTCATTGATTGCCGTATCTATAGATTACCCAACCATGCTGCTATCCATACCATATTAACAGCTATCGTGAGCAAGTCTCAGTCCTGCTCTAGTTTAGTGATCTTCCTCTCTTGAAAAAATGAACGCCTTGCGTGATGCATATTTACAACATGATAGATATATAAAAAAAGACGTCTGTCTGCCACGGCATGAGTCCCGACGTGTTCGAAAGAAAATACATATAACATCATCTCCATGCACTCATCCGTGGTTGAACGTTTTTCTCGTCCCTACTTCTTTACTCCTTCTTGGTCTTCTTCTCCTTCTTCTTGCCCTTAGGCACGCGCGCGAGCCAGTAGAGGAATAGCGCGCCGAAGATGTTGAACACGATGTATACCCAAAGGATACCAAAGTTGCGCCATCGGTCCTCTGCGAAGTAAACGTTAGTTTTAAATCTTATCGATGAATTATATAATTGAAGAGGATAACTTACCATAAAAGGCGTTGGCACCCGCCAAGTACGTGTTCGTCTCCAAGACTGTGCAGTAACTACAGTTCGACGTACGACCTGCGGTACCATCTTCGATATAACCGCCAGTCGCAAGGACGTAGTTCTGCAGGTATTCGCCACAGTTTTGGCCAGGAAGAGGGTCGAAGTGTACGAATTCGTTGTTGGCGCAATGTACTTCAGTGTTTGCCACCGCCGTTGTTAACATGGCCGACACCAAATATGAAAACGGACTGACGCGATACATGAAAATCCAGAAGCGAGGGAAGCTATCGGGACTAGCAAGGACACCACAGAAGATCAAGCACAAACTGAACATCAGGTTGGCAATGTTACCACCACCCTCAGCCGTTTCAAAAGCAGCGATGATCATATCGGTGAATGTCGAAGTGAAAATAAGGAAAGCCCACAAGAGCAAGAACATCAAAGCACCGCGCTCAGTGGTTTGACCAGCATCCACAGCATTCCTATAAAGTCCCACGGGGTAATACCAGCAGACGAACATGAAGACAGCCATAAGCGTATTCCAGGGAAGCTCAACAATGATTTGCGACAGCATGAAGACCTTCCAGCCATAAACTTTAGACGGACGTTCGCGCACCTCGTAAAGGGATCTTTGAATAACGAAATGCGGCATTGTTTGTTGAACTAGCTGGCCGAAAATGGTCAAAATGTTGAAGATTGCGAACATCTGGTTCTGAAGACCTTGGATTGTGTTGGGAGCTTTGAAGAAGACGAAACCGATAAAGAGTGCCACAAGGATACAGAGAATTGCCTTAGAGTAGATGTATGACGGGGTTCGCCAGTATTGCTGGAATACACGGGATGTGACCTCAAATAGCTGAGTACCAAAGCTGGCAGCATGCTCACGATAGGATTGCGGATCTTCGGTAGGCGTTGGGACATGCTGTGCTCCGTTCTCGAGACTTTGAAGCTCGGCCTGTACATCTTTATATTCGGGACTGTTGCGCCACGTCTGGAACCAGTCGACGTCAGTCTCACTACCTGGAGCAGCACCGATGGCGTCGAGCATCCATTCTGCAGGGTTGGCATCTTCGGGGCAAGCTGGAGCGCCGTTACGTTCGAAATAGCTGGTCAGAGTCTGGGAGTTCTCTCCGATGTCGCCAAAGTAGACAGTCCTTCCGCCCTTGGCAAGGAAGAGCAGACGGTCAAAGCGCTGGAACAACATGGCAGAGGGCTGATGAATGGTACAAAGAATAGCTTGTCCGCTCTTAGTGAGCTTCTCAAGAAGATCCAAAATAGCCCACGAAGTTTGAGAATCAAGACCGGAGGTAGGTTCATCGACAAATAGCAATAGAGGAGGCTTAGCAGCGAGCTCAACACCGATCGTGAGACGTTTACGTTGTTCGACGTTGAGACCCTCGCCCAAGACACCGACGACCGCATCAGCATACTCTTCCATATCCAAAAGCTTAATCACCTCGTCAACGTAGGCAAGCTTCTCAGCACGCGGAACTTCAGCAGGCTGGCGAAGGAGAGCAGAGAAGTTGAGAGCCTCGCGGACGGTAGTAGTTGACAAGTGAAGATCTTGCTGTTGAACATAACCAGTCTTCCTCTGGAAAGAATGATCACGAGGATGACCATCGACCAACATATCACCAGTTATAACACCCATAGTGATACGATCAGCCAAGGTATCAAGGAGGGTTGTCTTTCCAGCACCTGATACACCCATTAGCGCGGTTAGAGTACCAGGTTTAACCCAGCCGTCAACATGATCCAGAATTCGCCTCGGTTCTCCCTTAATCTTGATATCGTAGCAAACGTCCTTCCAGTGGAAAACGCTAGATTGTTCCTGTAGGGCACCACCCTTCTCAGCGGGACCATTGGCACGGCTTGCGTTCGTTGCCGTGGGACCAACACGAGGGCCTTCGCCTTCCTCAATGTCGCCCTTCTTGTCTTTGAATTGGGCAGGCTTGTAACCAAGTCGGAAAACCAACACTTCACCTTTCGACTTCTTCTCAGAGACGAGCTCGGCAGCGGTCATGTAGATGAACAAGAAGAATAACATGAAACCGATCAAAATACCAAAATTTCGCCAACGGTGAGAATTATAGTATTGGAATGCCGAGTTTATGTACGCGTCGCCATTGACAGTTGAGAATCCAGGCAAACTACCAGGAGTACTGCAAGCATGATTAATCGCTTGAACGTCGCCGTATCCTGGAACCATGGGATTTGGTACGTATTGATCACATGTAAATTCGCGATTATGGAATTCGTTTACCATCAGGGACTCGAAAGCATATGCTAAGGGATCCAGGTAGTTGAGCCAGCGGCACCAGTCGAGCATATAGTCGATAGGGATAACGAAACCGGTGAAAATAACGAGGTCGAGGATCAATATCGCGGCTGGCACCATGGCTTGCGATAGAGTACGCGAAGCCGAACCGATCGAACGGAAAATCATACTCATCGTCATTATCGTAAAGAACATGACGAGTAAGTAGAAGAAGAAGGCTCCTGGTTCGCGTCTCAAGTTGGTGATGAAGTACAGAGTCAGATTGAAGACAAGACAGTTGGCAATCTTGTAAGGCATGTCGACAAGCATAGAGGCGACAGCTTCAGCCGAAGGGTGATATAGAGCGTAACGGTTATGTTTTTCAACGATGGGACGTTGCGCATACAGGGTGAGAATCTAGTAATAATTAGTATTTGATAGCTCAGAAGAAAGTATTTCGAAAACATACCTCCAAGGCACTTGAGAAAGCATTCATGAGACAGGCAAAGAACAGAAGAGCACCACGTTGATAGAAGCTCGAGGTGTTCGGTTGCATATTGTAGAACACACTACCAATGATCAGAGCCATGACAAAATTACCAATAAGCGATCCGACTGTTAGACTAGGGTCGCCAATAAGACGTTGCCAGCCACGCCATAGACACAGCATGATTTGTTGCGAAAAGGACATAGTATAGGGGGACTTGGATCGTTGACCCGCAGCTTGTTGGGCCCTCCTTGAAGCACGGAAGGCTTCCGCGTCCGGACCGTTCAGGGGGTGTTCTTGCTTATACTGCTCGATCTCGACCTGTAAGGCCTGGTACGCGGCGCTGTTCTTCCAGGCTGTGGCAAATTCATCCGGTGTTCGCGGAGCCCTACCCTCAAATCCAGGTCGGACAATACGCTCTATCGAACTGGTCATCGAGGTTAAAAAGTCGGGGGTTGTTTGTCTGGCGGGGCACTCGAAGCCCAGGTCAATGAAGTACTGCTTAGCCTCTTCTGCCCGACCAAAGAAGATCTGTCGACCTTCGTATAAGACGAGAGCCTTATCAAAGAAGTCATATGCGGTTTGCGGTGCCTGGTAAATGGAGACACAGGCAGTAGTTCCGAATAGTTCTGTCTGCGTCCGGAGCGTCTTACAGAACTCCACGGCGTTGGCGCTATCCAAACCTCGGGTACTGTTATCCCAACATTGTAACGGCG